ATGAGCTGGAGAAGGAAATGGCGAACCACTCCAGTGTCTTTTTCAAGAAAATTCTAAATGGGGTCACAAAGAGTCAAACATGACTGAAATGACTGAACAAAAAAAGTCACTAAACCAATTCTAAATCCGTCTAATGATACTTCCATCTGACCCACATCTTCCCATATTTTCCATGAGGATATAATGACTTTGTCAAGTGTCTTTATTTGGTCAGCAGCAAGAGACTATCTGCAAAGACAATGTCTGGAATTCTCATTCCCCCTTACCTTAGTCCCTGTTGTGAAAAGGTAGACAGGTACCAGGAGACATCAGAGTCATAGCCAGTGATTTTGGTGCCCGAGGCAAATAACATGAAATGGGCTCTCAAATCAACTTTTCAAGACAAATTCAGTTGAGTGGGATGGAGAGGAGGGAGAGATGCCAGAACTCACCTGGGGGTGTGGCTATGGAGAAGAGAAAGTGTGCTATGCCATCTGGTAGTTTCCTACTTTAAATATTCTTACTTACTGGGTATTAAGCTTTCCAGTCTATGATGCTGAAGGCACACAAGTGCACCCTCCAAATGCTGATGCCTTAGGAATAAACTCTATTGCACCACCCTAGTTATGACACTATATGGCCAACAGAGAATAGAGATCTGACCAGCAGCCTAAGGCTAGCCTTGGTTTGGAGAAACTAATTGCAATACCAAGCAGAGGAGACATGCAGAACAATAAGTGTACTAAATATATCACCTTCTATGCAAAGCCTTTCCTGATCCCTCCCCACCAACTGCTGGTGCCCTCCCTCCCAGACTACTTTGTGTTTGTTGCGCATTTTCTCTGCATATGCTTATAGACGCAGAAATCAACTGCCTCAATAAAATGAGAAGAGGCATTGTTTCCATTATTAGATCTGCAACCCCAGTGCCTAACACAGTGCCTAACACATAGTAGGTACTTAATAAATCCTTGTTAATCAGTTGATTAAAGAAGAGCTAAAGGGGCAATTTTCACTATTATTCTAAGGATCATATGAGAATAGAATGGGGCAGTGAGACCAGGGAGCTATGAAAAGAACCTGGGATGGACTGAGGGGGAAGTGGGGAGACCTGCAGAGGCACTCGGCAGATCTTAGTGCATGCACACACACATATATCTATGTACCTACACACATATGTACACATATATATTACTGTATATTATATCATATTATAGAGGCAGCTGGTGGTGCAGTAGATAGAGCACTGGGCCTGGAGGCAGGAATATCTGAGTTCAAATCTGACTTCAGACACTTCTTAGCTGTGTGACCCTAAAATGGGGATAATAATAGCCCCTACTTCCTGGAGTTGCTGTGAGGAGAAAATAAGGTAATATTTGTAAACTGCTTTGCAAACCTTAAAGTACCATATAAATGCCAGCCAGTGTACATGTATGTATAAATATATCTATACATATACAAAAAATAATATTTTATGTATATACGTAGATCTGTGTATATACATATATACACAAACATATATGGGAAGATTGGGATATAGATGTAAAAATATATGCATATATATTTTTATCTCTCTCTCTAGATACATATATGTGTGTATGTGTATGTATATTTGTGTACATGTATGTAGGTGTATATGCGTACTATTATATATAGTTATATTATATAATTATTGCATATATGTAATAGTTACATATTATATATGTATATATTACAACTGTAATGTGGAAGTTGATTTAGTTTTCAACCCCTGTTCTAATTGCTCTGAAAAAAGTAGAAATTAGAGCCATGTGCTTCCAAAAAAGTGAATACATTTCATTTAGGGTAAAAAGTTCAAATAGGGAGGAGGCACTCACTCTAGCGACTGGGGCTCCCCTCTGACCAAGCATATCTGGTACCAAGTACTAGCCTATATCCAGCATGGTGTAACACAAAAATCCCTGGGTTCAAATCCTGACTCCCATACTTCTTATGGTGTGATCCTGGGCAAGTCAATTTCTGAGCCTCAGTTTCCACCCCTGAAAAATGAGGATAATGATGTTTTCACTACCTACCCTCACAGAGTTGTTGTGAACAGAGTCTCAGTAAATCTTAAGTCAATCAAAGTATACAGTAAATCTTAAGATTCTATAGAAATAAGAACTAGTTTTCATTCACTAGTCAGTAAGAGAAATGGCCCACACAGAGGTTCTACCTGGGTTTCCTCATGGGATAGGAAAGTAGACCTGGAACTTTAAGGAGATGACAGTGAGATGTCATCCTGGAGTCTGATTTTGGTTATGTTGAGTTTGAAGTACTGTGGGGATGCCCAGATGGAGATGTTTAGCAGGCAGCTGGCAATGTGGGAGTGGAGCTCAGAAGAAAGGTTAGGGCTGAATAGATAGACATGGGAATCATCTGTCCAGAGATAATTACTGAACTCACAGGAGCTGATGACGTTACCAAGTGAGATATTGTAGAGAAAAAAGAGATGGACCAGGACAGAGCTTTGGGGCATTCTCACAGTTAAGGGGCTTGACATGGATGAAGATCCAAGAAAGGAGACTGAGAAGAGGCAGTCAGATAGGTAGGAAGAAGACCAAGAGAAAGCAGGGTCATAGAGGCCAAAAGAGAAGAGTGTGTCCCCTTGGGAGACACACACAGTTAGTTGGCATGACAGAGATGAAGATCCAGCAAAGGCGATGAAGATGTGGTCAGACATGTAGCAGGAAAACCAAGAGGGGAGAGTAGGTCCAGGGGGATGGGGTGGTCAAGATTGTCAAAAGCTGCTGAGAGAGCAAGAGCTGAGAAAAGGATTGAATTTAGCAGTAGAGATCATCGACTGTCTCCAGTGCAGTGCCTCAGGGCTCTGTTCTCAGTCTTCTGATCAATGTTTTATTTTGTTTTTGGGGGGATTGGGGTTTTTTATTGTTTTTTTTTTATCAATCACTTGGATGAAGCCATAGATGAATGAGGGGATATTAGATTCAGAATTGAAAAAGACTTTACATGTCAACAGGTCCAACTCCTTCATTTTACATATAGGGAAACCGAAGTCCCAGAGAAGCTAAGGGATTTGCCCAAGATCACAGAGCTAGTAAGTGGCAGAACCCAAAACCTTTCCAATAGCTTACTACCCCCCCCAACATGCTTATCAAATTTATGAATGATATTAAGTTGGCAGGGATGGCTAACAGAATTGATATGAAAAAAAACCATGATGGGTTAGAAGAATGACAAGAATCTAATAAGGTCAAAATGTCATAGCTGTAGAACTGGAAGAGACTTTTGCGGCCTTCCTGTCCAACTTACCCATTTTACAGATGAAGAAACTGAGACTCAGAGAAGTTAAGGTCTGCTTAGTGTGAGATCTCCAAAGATAGCCTGGCTCAGACTCAGCATATGCCAGCCTGCCTTCTGGCCATCTTCATGTCTTGCTACTGTTCAACTACCTTTTTTCATCTACCCTACATTCCTTACCCCATTCTCCCTTTCACCTCTAACTTTGTAGTTTAATTAACATTATATACTATTATAATATATATATATATATAATATAATATATATACAGTATATTAATATAGTATATATTAGCATAATATATTAGTATGGTATATATAATAGTATATTGTGTATATATAATAGTAATCTAATTAACATTAATGTTCCTGAAAAATTCATGTCAATCAATTGCCCTATGGCTCCACTCACTAATCCTGACCTCCCTGCCCAAAACACCCTTCCCTGACCGCTCCCTAACACATGTTCCTTTCTGTTATTAGTAATAACAATAACTACCACTGACATAGCACTTACTACGTGCCAGGCACTATTAGTGTTAGACACTTTATAATTATCACCTCATCTGATCCTCATAGCAACCCTGGGAGGTGAGTGCTATTAGGATCTCCATTTTTACAGATGAGGAAACTGAGGCAAACAGAGGTTGTGACTTGCCTGGTGTCACATTGTTAGAAATTGTCCAAGGCTGGATTTGAACCCATCTCTTCCTAACTCAAGGCCTTGAGTTCAAATCCAGATTACTTACTAGCTATGTGACCTTGGGCAAGTCACTTAACCTCTCTTTGCCTCAATTTCCCCACGTGTATAATGGGGATAATAAGGACACCTACCTCTCAGGGTTGTTGTGAGGATCAAATGAGATAACATTTGTAAAGCTCTTAGCACAGTACTTGGCACACATTAAATGCTATGTAAATGCTGATTATCATCATCATCATTATTGTATCCAGTAGGCCACCCAACTGCCCTAAACTTGAGGAGCTGAAGACAGAAGATTCTGGAAGGAGGGGACTGTCTTTTTGTATCACCCTCTGTTTGTTTCACTAGCACTTAGCACCATGGCTGGCACCTTCACTGTAAGCACTCAGTGTTTCTTTCATTCATTCATTCAGAGGAGGAGGGGGATTTGAACTGAGGTCCTGTGACTACAAAGCCAGCCTTCTTTCTTTCACTTCACCAATTTTATATTGATGTTGGGAAATATTTCACCAAAATTCAAGCTATTCAAAGATGGAATGGGCTACCTCTCCAAGGGATGGAACTCTGCTCCTTGGAAGTCCTCATGCAGAAGCCAGATGACCAGTGCTAGAGTGAGAATTTCTTTCCTAGACTGGACTAGACAGTCACTGAGGTGGGTCCCTTTCACCTCTCAGATTCTGTGACTGTAATTCAACCACCATTTATTTGTTGGGTGCCTGTGTATGAGGTGGGGCAGCTGGGTTGCCCAGTGGATAGAGCACTGGACTTGGAATCAGCAAGATGCATCTTCCTGAGTTCAAATCTGGTCTCAGATACTTACTAGCTGTGTGACCCTGGACAAGTCACTTAACCGTCTTTACCTCAGTTTCCTCGTTTGTAAAATAAGCTGGAGAAGGAAATGGCAAACCACTCCAGTATCTTTGCCAAGAAAACCCCAAATGGGGTCATGAAGAGTCAGACACAACTGAAATGATTCAACAACAACAACAAATATATAAGGCACGATGTTTGGTACTGTGAATACAAAGATAAAAGACAGCACAGTCTCTGCTTTCAGGGAGCTTATGATTTGGCAGGGGAAAATAACATTTACATAGCTAAGTATGAGATAAGGTAGAATATGATAGTGACAAAGGAAAGAACTATCCAAGATGCTCCGGGGACATTTGAGGATAGAAAGAATCCTGAGGTGGAGAGTCAGGGAGGGTTTGAAGGAGGAGCTGGCACCTGGAATGACACTTAAAGGAAGAGAAGATGGCTAGAACTAGGGAAGTGATTGCAGTCCCACTGTCCCTTGCTTTTCTGGTCAGATCATGTCCCTAGTACTAAATTCAGTTCTGGGGCCGTATTCCAGGAAGGATGTTGATAAACCAGGGCAGGGCATCCAGAGGAGGATGACTGGATGGTGAAGGTAGGACCACAGAAGCACTGTTGTCTGGAACTTGGGAGGACTGGCCTGGAGAAGATGACTCCACGAAGGACATGAGAGCAGTCTTCAAGCATCTGAGGGGCTGCAACATGGAAGAAGGGTTACACATGCTCTGCTTGGCCCCAGGGGGGAGAACTGGCAGAAATGGCAGAAGGTTACAGACAGTGGGCAGATTTGAGCTCCATGAAAGGCAAAATTAAAACTGGCCCAAAGTGGAATGAGCTGCCTTAGGAAGAAGTGCGGGCATCCTCTTACAAGAAGTCTTCAGACAGAGGGTGACTGGCCATTGGTTGCAAACATGGTAGAGAGAACTCCTGTTCAGGAGCAGGCTGGGTCAGGGGCCCTCTGAAGTGGCTTATAACTCTGAGGTTCTGTGAAGAGGAAGAGACAAGAAGATAGTGAATTCTCCATCACTAGCGTCTTCAGTCAGAGATTCTCGGTTTGTAATTTTGCAGGGAATCCTGCTCAGGCAAGGACAAAACACCTTCTCAGTTCTCCCTTCTAAATCTGAGATCCTATAACTCTGGGAATTCTCCTGAGAATCCTCTTCAGACTCAGGCTTTTAACATCACCCTAAATCAAGTCAACATTCTCTCCTGAAGGACAGGGGCAAGGACAGGGGATGGGGCAGAGAGAATGGAGAAGGCATGAACAGGAGAAGAGGAAAGGATAGGGGCAGAGAATGGAGGAGGAACAGGGATGAGAAGGAGCAGAAACTAGAGGACAGACACAGATACGTACATAGAGAGGGTACAGGAATAAGGCCAGGGAAGAGACAAAGGTCAAGATGGGGATACGTACATAGATAAACAGAAATAGGACTTCTGTCTAGACCCCAGGTCCATCGCTCAATGCCAAATTAAAACTGCTCTCCTTACAGTTCCCAGAATCCCAACTCACCAAGATCCTTGAGTTCTGCCCACAGAAATCCTCCACCCTAAACTCCTTTCCTGGGTGTCTGGTCCCTAAGATCAGCTGTCATGAGCTCCGTCAGGCAGCTGTCTTAAATGACTGTGCTTGACAGGTCCTGACTGACGTTCAGCAGCTAGACAGCAGACAGAGAGAGAGAGAGAGAGAGAGAGAGAGAGAGAGAGAGGAGAGAGAGAGAGAGAGAGAGAGAACGAGCTTTGGAGTCAGGCCAACCTGAGTTCCAATCCTAACTCAGACATGTCCTAGCTGTGGGACACGGGATTGTCCCTTTAACTTATATCTACCTCAGTTTGCTCATCTGCAAATGAGGATAATGATATCTTCTGATTCAGTTCAAGCCCAATAGCATGCATTGAGCCCCTACTATGTGCTGGATCCATGTTAGGTGCTGAGGATACAAAAGCAAAAGAGGAAATAACCCCTTCACTAGCTTGTATTTTTCTGGAATATGTTCATTATGATCATTCTACTTAGCTCTGAATAGCTCATTACCAGCCCCATTACACCTGAGGTTCTCAAACTCGAGAGGGTTTGTTTCTCTGCCAGCACTGCAGGAACTTGGAGACCAGAAAGGAGGCATGAGCTGGGGGGGCAGATTCTAGGAGGTATGGGGAGGGGGAGCGGGACACAGCTCTGGATGGATGCTGCTGGGACTTAGCCTGGGACCTTGACTGCATTTGCTTTAGGCAGCAAATTGACTTCCTGCCTGTCCCAAACCTGGCCCTGGTTTCTCCCCACCCTGGACCTCTGCCTTGGACCCTGTCCTTTCCACCTCTTGTCCCTGCCCCTTCCTTCATGTCTGTCTCTGCCCCCTTCATCTCCATCTCTTTCCCTGTCCTGACCTCTCTCTCTTTCTCTGCCCCCCCTCCTCCTTGCCTCTGCTCCCAGGTGGTGTTTGGGGAACCCTCTTTGAGAAGTGGCTACAATTCAGATACAATTTAGAACAACATAATTTAGAACAATTCAGCCACATGGTCGGTGGGCCCCCAGCCCAGGAGGCTCTGCCCGGCCTGCAGCCTGAGGAAGTCCCCGAGGACAAAGGCCAGGGACTGTGCAGCACTGACTCCCAAGTCTGTAACTCCGACAGCAGCTGCTATTCTGGGAGCGGGAGGAGCCAGAAGCAGTCTGGAGGAGGGAAGGGAAGGGGGGGAGTGGAGAGACGGTCTGTGAGCCGACAAACATGTATGTGCACGTGTGTGTGTGCCAGGCTGTGTGTATGAGGCGTATCAATACCAGTGCTTATGTCTACGTAGCTGTTGTATGTGTGCATGCCAAGGTTGCAGAAAGTCCCAGAGGCCAGGAGTTCTGAACCTTTTTGTGTGTCCTGAGCCCTTTGGAAGTCTGGTGAAGCCCATGGACTCCTCATAATCATGTTTTTAAATGCAGAAAATAAAAATCAGATTACAAAGGAGACCAAAAGTCAATGAAAATAAAAATGGAATTTTTTCCCAAGTTCACAAACTCACTGAAAACTGATGGACCCCCAAGATGTGAACAGATCCCAGGTTAAGAACCCCTGCTCCAGAAAAAGGAACCCCAAAAGTCATCTAGCTAATCCAAGCCTTTCCTGACCAGGAATCCCCTCTCTAACATCCTTGATAAGGAGTCATCTGATGTTCATGTGTGAATATCCATGTGCGCGTATGTGTGTGTGCTGCTGTGAATTTGTAGGCCTGTGTCAGCACATGCATATGCTAGCACATGCTTCTATGAGTGACTGTCAGCCTGTGTGCCCCCATGGTATACCTCTCACCTGGACATATAGTCAATATGTTTATGGCATGTCAATGACTAGCCATAGGCATGTATGGGATCCAGCATTGTGACCCAGGGTGTATGTGTAAATAAGTATATGTAGACACACACACACACACACACACACACACACACACATACACATATCCATATACATTTGGATGGGTAATAGAGCCTGCGTGATGGCAGGGGGTAGAGGGAGAGGGTGTTGATTACTCTGATTTGGCTCCTGGTGGGAAGGTCACACAGCAGGCCAGAGTCTTCTGGATTTTAGATTCCAGAAGAGATAGCAAAGCATGCTCCCACACAAGGGGGATAGGGGATGCAACAGGCTTCTAGCTTCTATCTGAGTCCTCAGTCCTTAGCCCTCATGCCTCCTACCACCTTACCCTGCCTCTCAAGGCAATGCTACTCTCATCACTTCATTAGATGTCTATCATTGGACCCTTCACAGAAGAATCTACTTAAGACTCTGGATGTCCCTGGAAGGAATACCCAGGGTCTCACAGAATGGCAAGGCTGCGAGTGACCTCAACAGCCATCAGAGTCCAATTCATACCTGAACAAGGCTCCCCTTGACAATATCCATAATAAGTGGTCGTTTGGCTTCTGTCGGAAGATCTCCAGAAAGGGGGAGCTCGCTTCCTCCCATAAGCTCCTGCGATGGTTTCTCAAGGCTCAGCCCCCCCGCCAGCCTTTCTTCTCCCCTTCTCCTATACCTGACATAAGCCATCCAAACCCAGGTGACAAGATCCAAGGATTGAAAATTTAGACATCGGGGCAGGGTAGCGCAGTGGATAGAGCTCTGGCCTTGGAGTCAGGAGGACCTGAGTTCAAATCCAGCCTCAGACGCTTGACACTTACTACCTGTGTGACCCTGGGCAAGTCACTTAACCCTGACTGCCTCACCAAAAAAAAAAAGCAAGAAAATTTAGACATCACTAGTTCAGACTCCTCATTTTACAGAGAAGGAAAGTGAATTGAGAAGGAAAAAGAGAAGGGAAGACTCTTGCCCAACTAAATACCCAGCAGAGCTGGGACCTATGTGTCTGGATCTAAGTGTATACATGTGTATTTATGAGTCTCTATGTGTTGTATCTGTATTTGTAAATAGTTGTGTATCTAGTCATTGTGTATGAATTAAGAATAGTTAGCATTCATATATCACCTCAAGGTTTGCAAACCACTTCCAGTCAGTCAATAAGCATTTATTAAGTGCCTACTATGTATCAGGCACAATGCTAAGTGCCACAGATGCAAAAAGAGGCAAAAGACAATCCTTGCTGTCAAGGAGCTCACAGTTTAATGGGGGAGATGACAAGCCAAAAAGATGCGTGGCCAAAAAGCAGGGAGCTGGGATCTGCATATTTGTATGTTGTATTCCCCCTATACTGTGTGTCTGTATAGTATAGGTCTGTGGGTCCCTTTGTATGCCTGTAGGAGGAGGAGATGGAGTGAAGAGGAGAATGAGGCCAACAGTGGGTTACTGGCCCAGATCTGACCTGACCTTAATAAGAACCACATGGCAAAGGAGGGCGTTGGGGAGGTGGGGCTGCTGGGGGGAACTCAGGACTTTCTGGGGCAGTGCTCTGACTCAGGCAGATGCTATGTGAGCCATCCCAGTAATGAAGCCAGGCGTCCTGCTCACCCCCTCCCTTCTCCTGTCCTGAAGGACAGGGGCAAGCAGGAGCTCTGGAGCTTCTGGGATGAGGGAGGAGGGCTCTTCACACCCCAGACTTTTCCTGGGGGACTTCCTGAGAGCTCACCCACCTCTCCCCCTGCACTCCATGTGCCCCACCCTCCTGCTGGGACCCCAGGAAGGAGAAGGAAGCTGAGCTCCTCTCTCCAGGCCTGCTAGTTCTTTCTCTGTCAACTTTCTCCAGGGCCTACATGGGCATCAGTCCCAGGCAACCAGGATACTAGCAAGCCTGGAGTTCTCAGGGTTGGTGGAAAGGGTTCTAGAACTGCCCTCTGACTCTGGGCAAGATGCTATAGTGAAAGGAGCTGGACCTGGGTTCAAATCCTGCTGCTACTTACTGCCTGAATTACCTTGAATGAAACCCCTCATTTCTCTGGCTTCTGTTTCCTCATTTGCAGAATAAGGGAATTAGACCAGATCAGAGGTTCTTAACCTCTTTTGAATCACTGACTTCCTTTAGCAGTCTGGTGAAACTCTACTTAGAATATTTTTAAATGTGTAATTAATGAGATTAGAAATGCCATATAATTACAAAATTCGTGGAATTACAAAGGAAACCAATTATATTGAAATAAACATACAACTTTTCTCCATCGAAGTTCATAGACTCCTTGATGTCTATCTGTCTATCTATCTATCTATCTATCTATCTATTTATCTATCTATCTATCTATCTATCAGCATTTGATGTCCCAACACCAGATCTATCCTACATTCCTTGCAATCTGACTTCTGAACTTATCTCTCAACTGTGCCAGTGAGATCTTGACCACTAAATCCGCGGGTTTTTTTCTCAGTTCTTTTCCTACTTGTCTGCTCCTGGACACTCTCCTCTGATTTCAGTGACATGGCTTATCCTTGCTTCTCCTCTTACCTGTTTGACCCTGGCCTCAGTCTCCTCTGCTGCATCATCACCAATTTCCTACCTAGTAAGTGCTCATGGCCCCTAAGACTCTGTCTTGAGTCCTCTTCTCTGTCTTTCTCTGTGGCTTTTTGTCTCTGTATCTCTGCCTGTGTCTCTGTGTCTGTATCTCTATGCCCCTATATCTATCCCTTTGTATCTCTGTCTCTGTGTCGATCTGTTTCTCTATGTGTGTCTTTCTGTTTGTTTCTCTGTATCTGTCTCCATCTCTATCTCTTTGTCTCTCTGTGTGTCTCTGCTGGTATCTCTGCATCTATCTCTGTGTTTCAGTCTGTCTGTCTTTCTATATCTCTGTGTCTGTCTGTCTGTCTTTCTGTCACTATCTCTCTGTTTCTCTATGTCTGTTTCTCTGTGTCTCTGTCGGTATCTCTGTATCTGTCTCTCTGTCTCTGTCTCTGTATCTATGTCTCTGTGTCTCAGTCTATGTCTGTCTTTCTGTATCTCTGTGTCTGTGTCTTTCTTTCTCTATCTCTCTGTTTCTCTCTGTCTCTTTTTGTCTGTCTGTCTCTGTGTCTCTTTCAGATCTCATTAGCTCCCATGGCTCCAATTATCTATCACTTCTATACAGAAAATTCCCAAACCTATACATCCAGACTTTGCCTCTCTGGAGTGCCAGTCTTGCATTGCCAACTGTTTGTGGCACACCTCTACACAGCTTTCTGACTAGCATCTCAGATGTCCGAAAGCTCCTAGGTGCCTCTAACTCGTCCCTCCCATTTTCCTTCCTTTATCTGTTCAGGGCTCCACTATCCTTCTAATCAGGTTCAAAGCCTCAAAGTTATCCTTGGCTGTACCCAGTCCCTCTCTACCTCCCCCCAAGGCACTGCTCAGCCCCAAACACCTGCCCAGCCTTGGTAGTTCTATCTCTCACCAACCTCCTCTGTCTCTTCCCCCTTCCTCCCATGTCTCCATTCATGACAGTCTAGACACTCATCCTTTTCTTGCCTGAACTATCGTCTTGTGCCTCTAATTGGCATCTCTCTTTGATTCCAGTCTGTCCCCTCCTCAATGTATTGCCCAATCTTCCTATGACACAAGTCTATGTCACTCATAAATCTTCACTGCCTTCCTATTGCCGCTAGAATAAAATACAAACACCTCAGCCTGGCCTTTAAAACCTTCCCCAATCTGGATCCCCATTTACCTTTTCCAGATATTTCTTGTTACTCCCCTTCACATATTTTACATTCTAGCCAAACCATACTGGCCTCCTGGCTGTTCTGTGAAATCAACATGCCATTTCTTCATTCTCAAGCCTTTGCACAGGCTGTTTCCCCATTCCTGGAACGCATTCCCTTCCCACGTCCCCACCTATTAGAATCTCATTTCCTTGGAAGCTCATCTCAGGCATCACATCCTAGCAGAGGTCCATCCTGCTCTCTCCTGTTGTTGGTATTCTTTTCATCATGATCCATGTATACCTAGATGAGACAGCCAGGTGGAACCATGGATAGAGCGCTCAGCCTAGAGTCTGAGACCTGAGTTCAAATTCCACCTCAGACATGCTACCTGTGTGACCCTGAGCAAGTCACTTAATTTCTGTCTGCCTCAGTTCCCTCAACTGTAAAATAGGGATAATAACAACATCTGCCTTCCAGAGCTGTTGAAGGGATCAAATGAGATAATCATTATAAAGTGCTTAGCACAGTGCCTGGCACATCGTAGACAATAAATGCTTGCTCTCTTCCCTGCTTTCCCTTTCCCCTACAAATCATAATCTTATAGCCCAAATATAAACTTTTTGAAAGCCTTGTATTTTTGCCTTTGTATCCCCAGGGCCTAGTAGCACCTTACATATTCTTTTTGGTAGGTTTTTTTAACACATAATTTCAATTATGTAGGAATTACTGCTCTAGAATTTGTTTAGAGCCATTTTTACAGGTATTGGGAGGGGTTTGGGGAAGAGCTCAAACAAGTCACTGCTTTTACTCTTAACCATCTTGGCTGTGCCCCCTGTAGGAATTACTAATGAGGAAACTGGCCACCACCAGCAGTGAATCTGCTCAGCAATTGATGGTCTCAGAGAGCTGTCTAGGGCACTAAGAAGCGACTTGCCCAGAGTCACACAGCTAGTAAATGTCTGAGGCAGAATTTGAACCCAGGTCCTCCTATCTCCAAGGCCAGCTCTCTAGCTATCATCATCATCATTATCACCACCATCAATAGCCCTCTTATATGGATTATTTCTTCTAATTACATAGCCTATTGTTTCTGTAACTAACAACTTCCTTAGTTGACCACAAGCTCCTTGAAAGTAGAGAAGCATTCATAGGACCGTAGGATTTAGGGCTGGAACCTAGATGGGCTAATCTAACCCTCTCTCATAGTATTTATTTTTTGTACTCCCAGACCCTAGCACATATTAGTTAAGCAAAGTGCCTAGCACATAGGTATTTAATAATAAACACACAGGTGTTTAATAAATGCTTATTGGCGTGAGATAACAAGCACTTAATAAAACTTATGAGATTTGAATTATTGTTAAATATTCTTATTTGAGCCTCACAAGCCTGTGAAGGAAACAGGGAAAGAACATTTCCCCCAATTTTGTAGATGGGAAAACTGAAGCTTCAGTGGCTAAGTTAGCCATGGTCATACAATGAGCTAGCAGGCAAAGTTTAGACATGGAGGCCTCGTCCTCCTGACTCTTACACAGAGTTTGTGGCTTATTATTATCCCCATTTTACAGATGAAGAAACTGAGTTCCAATCTCTTACCATAGTGACATTAACTAATGACTGGAATTCAAGTCATGTAACTCTGAGATCGGTGCTGCCCATCCACGAAGCAGTGCTGCTGTAACCTCGTGCCCCTAGCCTTGTTTGTGGGAGAGCTCCATTTGGGTGGATCCCTGGGGGGCACTAGCCCCTGTGCTATGGATCTAGGGAGTGAGGGTGAAGTTGGGCTAGTGATTGCCAAGTCTAAGACTTGGGGGCTGGCTGTAGGCCATGACAATTTCTTATACTGTTTAACTTTTCCATAAAAAGATGAAGCCTATAAATTAAAGGGAGGCGGGTAAAGGAAGGAAGGAAGGGAGGCTCAGACTGAAAATAGGCAAGAGGGTGGCAGAAAGATTTGTTCCAACACATATAATAAGTGCTTATCACATGATTTTTTCATTCATTCATTCACCAAATATTTGCGAAGCACCCACTGTGTGCAGACTGTTGTTTGGTTTTGTGAGAGCTATAATTTAGACAAGAAATGGTCTCTACCTTCTTGGAGGTCCCAAGATAATGACACAAAAGCAGTATTATACTCTATAATATTCTTATTGCAGTAAATTCTACATGAGAACCAAGGGGAGATGGTTGTTTTTGACAGGAGAGAGAGACTTTTGGAGGTGACATTTGAGTATGGCTTTTAAGGATAAGTAAGAAGGCAGTGGGTAGAATTGGTGAAAGGAGAAGGCATCCCTGCCATTGGGAACAGCATGGACAAAGGTGTGGAGGCAGAAGTGCTCAGAATGAATTGAGAAGGTAGAGAATCTTCCAGGTTTAGTTCAAGCTTAGAATGCCTGTCAACAGGGAGGGAGGAGAGTCACAGACCCTGGAGGGTCTTGAATGCCAAACAAAGCAGTCTGATTCTTATTCGGAGGCCAAAGATGATTTTCAACAGGGGTGTAACATAACAAGATCAATTCAATTCCCACCTCCCGTTCAGTTCCTCCTTGATAGTTAGAAGTAAACAGACAAGCTGTAGGAGGAAGGATTAAAGCTATATTTGTGGAAGAACTTTCCACCATCAAATATTATTGATGGAGGCAGTGATGCTACCCTAGGAGGTAGCCAGCTGCCTGGGAGCAGGAATCACTGGATTCCACGTCCGAGGTCTAATCTCAGCTCTTTGTCAGTTTCAAGCTGTGGTGCCTTTGGTAAGTTACTAGCCTCTCTGTGAACCAGTTTTAAATATTCAAATAGACCTAGGATCTCAAAGATCAGATGCTCCTTCTGAGCATCTTACAATCATGTAATATTGGATTTAGAGCCCGAGGGAATCTCAAAGGCAACCCCCCCCCCCCCCCCCCCCCCCCCCCCGCCACCGAAGGTTAAGGTAGCTGCCCTAGGATCACACTTCAAGTCCAGCACTGCTCAACTTAGGAAAAATTGTGTCCATGTCTTCCCAGTAAGTTCATCACAGGGAGTCCACCCTACTTGTGCTGAGATTTCTTTCTTGATATTTCAATGAAATACAAGAGTCGGACTAGATGTCTTCCAAAGTTCCTTCCAGCTGTAAATTTATAATCCTATGAACTGTGGCTTGGCTGGCAGCAGAAGCTCCCACAGCCTGGTCTGGCCTTGGGCACTTCTGCTGAAATAGCCACTGGAAGTTGGGGGGAGGGGCTGGGACTGGGGGAGGGGGGCCGGAATTTTGGAAACCTGGAATTTAAAGCTCTTTGCCTGGCCCCATACCTTGTCAGGCCTCCTGGAGGTGGACCGCACCGAAAGCACAGGAAAAAAGAAAAGAGGCTACCCCAGCTCTACCCCCAGCCACAGGGCCCCCAACTTCTCTTCTGCAGCCTCACCAAGGCCCCCCCAAAGCTGGCTGCAGGGGGCCGGAGGGCGGAGCTCAGGGCATCAGGCCCCGCCCCCGGTTGCCCCGGGAAACCCTTGGTTGTAACAATGAGGGGGTGACTAGGCGAGGCTCAGGGGCCCGGGAGGGATAGGGGTGAGTTGGGATTCTCCTGTGCCCACGAGGCGTGTCAGCCCCGCCTCCGGCCAATGGGAGCAGGCCGGGCCTTCTCCACACCTCCGCCCCGAGCGGCCGCGCGCACCAAGTCCGCGCGCTGTCTTCCAATGGGGGGGCGGGGTGGCGCTGTGAGACTAGGGTGGCCACGTGGGGAGCAGGACACCCGGTTCAGAGAAAGCTCGGGGTCACCCCGGGCCGCAGAGGCTGCCACGGTGCACGCCCGCCCCCCCAGCCCCCACAACTCTCTCGGGCGTGGCTGACAGCCTCCTTTCCCAAACCTCGTCTCCAGGTACGGGTTCTCCCCGGGGCGCGCCCGCCCCGCCCCGCCCCTCCTAGACTGTGTCCCCAGCCCTGTGGGGCGCTGCAACCCCGGCTCCGACTCCCAAGAACGCCGCGCCCGGCGGGACCAGAGGGGTAGGGGGGAGGTGCCCGCGGCGCCGGGAGCGTGCACGCCCCCGCCCCCCGCTCCCGGCTCCCCGCTCCCCCTTCCCTCCCCGCGCCGCGCCGGGCCCGCCCCCTCCCCAGCTCCCCCTCCCCTTCCCTTCATTTCCCTCCTCTCCCCACTCCCCCCCCCACCCCGGAGGTGCAGCCGGCGCTGAGCGCGGCGGGCGCGGGAGGAGCAGGAGCAGGAGCCGAAGCGGCGGTGGCGGCTGCCTTGGCAGCGCGCGGGGTGCAGGGGGCGGCGGCGGCTCCGGCTCCGGCTCCGGCTCCGGCTCCGGCTCCGGCTCCGGCTCCAGCATGGTGCAGCCCGGCCCCATCCCGGGGGAGCGGAGGCGGCGCGCGGGGCCAGCGCCCGGGGAACGGCGGCGACGACGGCGGGAGCAGCGGCAGTGGCGGCAGCGCGAGCAGCGAGAGCAAGAGGCTCCTGCTCCAGCTCCGGTGGGCTGCAGGTGCTAGAGCGGGCCGGCCAAGGTGTGCGCCCACCTGGCCCGAGGCACCGGGCTCAGGCGTAGGGCGCAGCCGCCGCCGCTCCGGGTTTCTCCATCGCCTTCCCCTTCCCCTTCCCCCCTACCGCCCGGATCAGAGGGGGAGCTGCCCCCTAGCCCCAGACGTACGGGATCTGTGGAGTGCCCGGGGGGAGAGCAGCCCTAGGCCAGCGCTGCCTGGGGACTCAAGCGCCCCTTGCCCTGCCCTGTGCTGCCCCGCCCCGCCGGGTGCCCGGAGCTGCGTCCAGTGACCATGGCTCTTCTCAGCCGGTGCGCCTGAACCCCAACCCCACCCGGAACCTGAACCACGGGGAATCCCTGGGCCTCCCCGTCTTCCCTGGTGGGTGCCCCGTGGCCCGCCCCCCCACGGGGGCGCGTGTCGCCTGGAGGTCTTCCCTTTCCCCCTCCCCTGTGAGCGCGCCGTCGCCACTGCTGGGTTCCCTGGTGCCATCCGTTCTGTTCCCTCCGTCGGGTGGCCGGACTCATCCGCCCAGTGCTCTCTTCTCTCTGCGGTCAGAATCTCTCGCTCCTGTGCCCACTGCTCCCGAGCCGGAATCACCTGCCCCGCGGCCGCCGTCAGGGGCCCCCGGGCCGGGATCATGGCCGAGAAGCTACAAGGAGCGCATCAGGTGGACATCGACCCGGACTTCGAGCCGCAGAGCCGGCCGCGCTCGTGCACCTGGCCGCTACCGCAACCCGACTTTGCAGGCGGCGGGGACGAAGAAGATGGGGCGGCCGGGCCCGGTAGTGGCGGTGGTGGCAGTGAGAGCACCGAGAACGGAGGGGCTGGCGCGGGCGCTGGGGAGCGCAAGGCGATGGTGGTGGCTGGGGCCCCGGCTCCCGGGACGGCGGCTCTACCGATGCTGGGTGGAGACGCTGGACAGCTCCGGAAGGCTAAGACCTCTCGGCGAAACGCCTGGGGCAACCTGTCCTATGCTGACCTCATCACCAAAGCCATTGAGAGCGCCCCGGACAAGCGGCTCACGCTCTCCCAGATCTATGACTGGATGGTTCGATACGTGCCCTATTTCAAGGATAAGGGTGATAGTAACAGCTCAGCTGGCTGGAAGGTGAGAGCCCCCGGCGTGCTTGGGCTACAGTAGAGAATGCCTGGGGTGGGTCTGAGGTGGAAAGGCTAGCTAACAGTGGGCACTAGCAGTCCTAGTGCCTGTGTCTGTAGAGGGAGGGGGGGGATTGTACCCAGCTAGCCAGTGCATGGAGGAATGTGACTGGAGACTCAGCCTGGGGGAGGGGGGTAAAATGCTGGGTTCAGGACAAGTTCATAGCCCCCAGAGCTTATTCCCAGTTCGATGAAAGGTAGGAGTGGGTCAGGCCCCAGGTGGTCCTTTGGTGGGTGTCCAGGTCCCTTGCCTGAATGGGGGGAGGTGGCAGTGGGGAGAATTTGGAACCCTACTTCCTAGTAGACCAGATAAGTCTTTTTTTTTTCTTTGACTAAGGTGAGGAAAATCAGGCACTGCCTGTTGACACCCTCGAACTCCTCAGCCTTGTGCCTAGGAATGTGTGTGTATGTGGATTATTGTTTTGTTTTGTTTTGTTTTTGAAAGGGAGGGTTGTCTCCTTGAGGAGGGGAGGGGCAGGACCCTAGGCCTAAGTATAGGGAAAACACAGTGTTAGAGAACAGGAGTGGCACTCCCCAAATTGGGGGGGGGGAGGAAGCTTTGGGAGGAAAAGGAAGAAGCTGACCCTGTAAGAAAGGGTCCCCTCCTGTCTGCCTGTGTAAGAGCTTTGAGTGTCCAGTTGCCTGCCAGCAGGTGGCATAGTTAACATGAGAAGCAGAGAAACTGAGGCACAGGGAAAATCAAAGGTTTACACAGAGGTTTGGAGCTAATACCCCACCTCATTCCATTCTGTCTGATAGTCTTATTACCCCTGCTTCCTTTGGACTTAACGTGTTTTACTTGGGGGGTTGGAAAGTGCTTACAAATATATAGGGTTGCATCATTAAGGCTAGAAGGCCCTGAGTTTATATTGTGGAGTATCCTCTGGGAGTTCTCAGGCCTGTGGGGAGGGGTAAGGAGCCCTTAATGCTTTCTCAGGTCTGGTCATAGGCATCTCCTTACAGAGGCCTCAGGCCCTAATCTGTTTGGGGAGGCTAGCTTACTGGGATAGTGGCCATGGACCCTCCCCCAGACACTAGAGCATTGGTCAACTCTCCCCCTGTTCCCCCTTCAGAATCTGGCACTGGGCCAGACCTTTGCCCTTGGTCATACCTGGAGTTCAGAAAGAGAAGGACAAGGTCATGAAAAGGATTTTGGGTATGCCCAGAATAAGCAGGGGCAAATGCATTTTGGTGGTGGTGGTGAGGGGTGTGTGTGTGTGTGTGTGTGTGTGTGTGTGTGTATGTGTACATAATAGCTCTCATTTCTATAGTGATTTAAGGTTTGCAAATAGATTTGCCCATTATGTAGGTGAGGTATAGGCAGTGAGTATTATTATTCCCATTTTACACATGAAGAAACTAAGGCTTGGACAGTGACTTGTTCATGTTCCCACACTAAGCAGAGGAAGCAGGATGTGAACCCAGAGCTTGTATTGGCCCATGCCCTATGTTGGCTCCCAAAGCAAAGGCGCTCCACCTACCACTCAGCAGCTTTTGTGCTGAGGCTTGCTAGGCACCTGGCCTTGAGCTAGACACCTCAGGAAAGTGAAGGAAAGAGCAGAGTCCCTGCCTTCTGGGAGTTTACGATTCAAATGGTTGGCTAAGAATGAGCAAAGCCAAGAGAGCTAGCAACAGAAGATGGGGTGTGCTCAGGGTGAGATGTGGGGTACAGCCCAGCTAGAGGGGCTTCGAGTAGGAAGTGGGGTCTGGGATGATGATGGGACAGGGCAGAAGGATATTGCAAGCGAGGGATAGGTGTGAGCAGAGATTGGAAAGTCTGAAGATCTGAGGGTGGCCATGGTGTGGCATTATGGGAGGCTGGAAAGGTAACTGGGAAAGACTGGGTGGAACATGAATGCCAGGCTTGAGGAGATTCGTACTCAATCCTGTTGGAAGGTGGGAAGCTGCTGAAGGTGTTTTAGGCAGAGGTGATAGTGCCAGAGCTGGGAGGGAACATCTAGTCCAATGCCTTCTTTTTGCTGAGAAGGAAATCAAGGCCCAGAGAGGAGGAAATAACCCATCCAAAATCACATGGTAAATTAATAGCAGAGCTGAGAATGGAACCCAGGTTTCCTGTCTCCCACTCCAGGCTGTGTCCATTATCCTGAGCTATCCCCTAAAAGGGCCGTAGAGGCATATAAAGCTTACCCACCTGTTCGGGGTAAGAGCTTCCAAACTACTCTTTATGGCATTGGCAAGGACTTGTCTGGGCTGCCCGGAGGCCTCAGTTTCTTCATCTGTATAGGGAGATTGGATGGAACTTTACCCAAGGTCATAGAGGGAGCAGGGACCCCCTGACTCCCAGTCTGGTCTGAAAAGCCTCAGTTTACCTTAAGCTGCTTAGAAGTAGATCTCCTTTTTCTATGCTTCAGGGAGAGAACGCAGGCTTCCTCCTTCCCAGTCTTTGGAAGGAGCCCTGGGTCACTGGACCTCACCTGCCTCCATCCTTGTTGAGGGTGGAATGGGATAAGATAGCATGAATCACCCAGTGTGTGTGTTCTAGCACCTGCCAGGAAGGGAGAGCTCCATGGGGTCAGGCTGGTAAACTGGAAAAGGAGGTGTCCCTAGTCAGCTGCTGATGGTTGGTTGGGTCCTGGAACAGATCCCTGGGCCCAGAAGATCCCTCATCTCTCCTCCTACTGATCTCTTTTCTCCCACTTCCATCCTTTAAAATTTTATTTTTTCCCATCAAATATTTATAGGGCCCTTCCTGTGTTCCCGGCTTCATGCCAGGTACTGTGGGGCACATAGGAGAAACAGATTCAGTCCCTTCCCTCCAGATCTATTTGGAAAAAGAAGCTGTCCAGGTTAGAGAGCCAAAGGGAATATTAGGCCAAGTCTAATGAGGTGCTGAGTGTGATG